GGCATGGAAGCGACGTGAATCGGGCGCGCTCACCTCCTCCCCGCGGCCGTGCAGAGCCTTGGCACTCTTGCTGGAGCCCGCGCAATCCCCCAGGCGCGGGGTCAGGTGGACGCCGGCGTGGAGCGCCCAGAGGGCGGGGTGGGGTGGGGGGAACGCCCTGTCGTCTGGGACGCCTCCGCATACTACCTGTTGGGCGAACCCTGGCATTCCAGTGTTGGTTGTCACTTCAGCAACTGATGGGTTTCCGGGGGAAGTAAACGGAGTCGCTAGTGGCTGGAAGGGCTGTTATCAGGGTCAGTGGAAGGATATCACCGAGACTGTTGTAGCTGTGCCGCAGTTGAAAAGTTACTTCTCAAAGAGTGGGTTGTTTGCATATTAAATGAGGCCCTTATGTTGTAAGGGGGAAGGAGATGTGTTTTTCTCAGAGATCTTTTAAGAAATTTCTGTTTCCAGTGACTCATTTCCGGTCACCTTTTAATAAGATTTGTTTTAAGGGTTGTGGGGAGAGGTGCCTACAGCTTCTTCACTCCAGAAGAGAGGAGCTAATACTTGTTGATCTAGAGAAGGAGCTCGTAGTCGGGGTTGGTTAAATGCCAAATGACAGATGGTTGTGTCCAAAACCTAGAGGGAAAAAACCACCACCAGGTCCTCCTAGACATTGGTAGTTGGGTACGTCTCTGCAGGGAGACGGGGATGAAAACACTGCGTTACTTAGGATTACAGCTGCTCTTTTTTTTTAACTCTGAAAATTTAAGTATTTTAAGATGTATTAACAGTTTGCTAAGTGGGAACTGGACAGATGAAAAGCATGGGTGGGTGGGTGTGTGTAATTAAAGCTTGCTTTTTAACCACAAGACAACTTTGGGAAGGCTGCTCTTTTAGGAAACTCTGTGTAACAGTGGAGTGTTAAAATTGTGAACTCTCTGCCAATTAACACTTACCATTGCTACTCTCCTGTCCAAATTTAGATGAATTTATTTAGAGTGAGATTTTTTAAGGATGTCTGTGAAGTTTGGAGTCACATTATATTTTTGCTCTTTATCCTAAGAATAATTTGGTCTGTGGCCTCAATTTAGTTAAAATCTGGCCAGAGTTGCCAGGCTAGTGAGATAAATACTCTTCATAAGTTCACCTTATGGTGAATTTAAATGCCCAGCTTCATCAAAGATGAGCATAGGTAACTAAATTAATAAAGTTTGGATTTTTTTCCTAAGAGGGTGGACAATTTTATGACCTGCTACTAAATGAGAGGAAAGTTATTTGGAAGACTGATGTATACTACCAATGTTCGTTCACTTGTTGATTTAGTCAGCAGACCTTTACTGAGCATTTCATATTTATTGAACACTTGTGGTGGTCTTGGGAATACATAGAAGAAAGATCTGGTCCTTGCCTCGTGGGAATTCACAGCCTACTGCGGGAAGAAAAACAAGTAACATCTGAGGAAGGGCTTCTAATTTGAAAGGAAAAATGTGAGAGAAAACTTTCTAAAGACAGCCTGTATTGTCATTCAGTTTGAAGAATTTTTTAATTTCCATCTTGATTTCATTTTTGACCCAATCATCATTCAGGAGCAGGTTATTTAATTTCCATGTATTTGCATGGTTTTGAAGATTCCCTTTGGAGTTGATTTTCAGTTTTATTCCACTGTGGTCTGAGAGAGTGCTTGATATAATTTCAATTTTCTTAAATTTATTGAAGCTATCTTGGAGAAAGTTCTGTGCACTGATAAATAGAATGTATATTCTGCAGCTGTTG